TTACAGAAGCTGCAAAACTGACCTTCGTTTGAGCAGATTGATTTTCTGGAGCATCACATTTGTGGGGTCATTTAAACGCTAAAATGGCCAGAAAAAGAGAACTTTAGGCCCCGTCCACACGAAGTCAAACCGTGGCCTAAATTCACAAATTTTTCACCAAACCAGCCTCTCATCCATACGAAGCCGGCGTTTCGGGGGTCTGTACACAATCTTTTTTTTATTAAGCTTTCAGAGAGGGAAGATTTTGAAACACCGTTTTCGCGTTTCCATCTTTAAGCTCTAACCACATTTTTTTTCTTACACTCATGCGTCATAGCGTCGCCTCTAAACACGCATGCGCGACACAGTATCACAACAACAATGGCGCCGTACTGTGTTGAATGGTTGCTGCTTATGCTACTCACCCTGCTGTCGGGCTTACAACAGAATCTTCTTCTTCTGGAATATCTCCAGGAAGAACAGAGCAATAACGACGACATAGTTCAGCACCTCAATTTGACTGAACCACAAAAATGGACCCGCAGGGCAAACTTCTAGGGGATTTCCGGTTTGGTTGTTGTATAAATATTACTGCGCATGCCCAACTTTTCGTTGCCTGTTTTCGCCTATTTTTGCTTTGGCACCACAGCACCACTTACAGGCCTGGCATACATTTTGCAGCGTTTTCATGCATTCATGTGGTCGATCACATTTATTTTACATCTCCGTCTTTAAGACAAACGTTCTGGAAAATATTAGCGTTTCGTGTTCGTTTTGACTTCGTGTGGACGGGGCCTCAATCTGAAACTTGACAGTGTATTCTTGTTCTTAGAAATGAAGGCTATTCCATGCGAGAAATTGATAAGAAATTGAAGATTTCCTTCAATGGTGTGTACTACTTCAGACGACATATTACGTAATACTTTTGAATTTGTAGCAACAACAACTGTTTCTCTACAAGTAGAATAACTGTTTTGTATAAAATTTTTACGAAAGTTATTTTTTAAGATGTTCCATTTGTCCTCCTCTGCCTTCAGATCTTTAAAAAAAGAAAAAAAAAAAATAAGCTGAGACTTTTTTTGTCATCTTGTAAAATGGCAGAGCTCAGTCTGTCTTAGAAGTCAGTGCTTTCCTTCAAGACTGACGATGATTGTTTTCTACTTTCGGCTACTTTAGATCGCCAAAGACATGTGAAATAATAGCAAATAAAGGTAATAATATGGTGAAAATCCAAAAGAGATTTGATCCTTAAGAAACGGGTGAAATACAGTTTGTCCAAGTGGAGTTTCCATATATTGATGTCATAAGAAGTGGCAGGGCCCAAGCAGATCTGGTACCTTCACTGGATCCGGACCCACCTGCTGGCTAATCCATGACCTCTGACCTATACAGTTTATCAAAAAAATACATGAATTAGTGCTTTGTGTAATCCCTAAGTTCAGGTCTCATTTACAAACTGAAATTTAGTATCATGTCCTCAGTACAGGGGCCAGGACCAGTTTCACAGAGGCACTGGACCAAGCCTATACAGTAGATTGCCAGTCTGTAAAAAAGAGTCTATCTTGTAATCCTTACAGCGATAACTGTAGAATGAGTCCAGTACTAATAAATGTTACTGTTTTGCCTATTTATTTTATGAACTGTTTATTTCACATTTTGAGTCATTCTTAGCATTGGGTAATGTTTTTACTTTTATGAATGGTCCAGGGACATACTAATGGAACAGAAAAAGTAGGAACGTTTTACACATTGAAAAAAAGTCCACCCTCACTTCTGTGATTATAGTTACACCCTTAAATAGCATCTATACTGTAAAGCTAAACAGAGTGCAATTTGAAGCTTAAGATGAAGACAACCTCAATTCTAGATAGGTCTGTTTTATTAAAAAAAAAAAACTCATTGATATCTTCAGAAAAAAAATCATTTGACAGCTGAACCTACAGCCTATCATTTCCTCTGGGTTTATCACTCACCTGCTGTGTGGATGTTGAAAGGAAACAAGCAGTTAAATTCCAGAGTTTTGATTTATGGAGACAATATTTCAAAATCTTGACACTCTACAAGAATACGGGTTGCATGAGGCGCCGCTGCTCCAAGCATAGTAATTACTGTGTAACCCCGGCTTCTTTTCCAGGTCATTATTACCATCTAATTCTGTAATGATCACGTAGTGGAATCTGGGAAAACATATTAAGTATCTCCTGTTTTTTAGGTTTTGATGCATTCCTTTACAAGATTTATTGACAGGCTCATCAGATATGTTGGACATAAGGGCTTTTCTTTGGCCATGGATTGAGCAAGACCAGAGTCTTCAGATAAGCAGGGAGGAAAGGACTTGAGCACAGGAGACATTATGGTGGAAAGCCAATGCATTTGTAGAAAAGCAGTAATTTCTTTCTTTTTTGGTTTTGTTGTGTTGCATAAAGGTTCTTTGACCAGTTTTAGATTCATTCAAGCAAAACATTATATTTGTGCTGAAAGTAGCAAAATTTCTTAAGTTTCTTCAACAGTTTTCGAATAGAATATCGCAAACACTTGCAGACATTGTTATTTAAAAAATGCATGTATGCATCTAACTATGCATGTTAGTGCATGTAACTTTATAGGCTAATTTTCAATTCAATTAAATAAGATCTCCCAAGCACACACATCACAATGTTTTACTAATAAATAGCCACAGAATACAAATAACATATTTACAAAAAGAGATACTTAAATATAGGTCACTTAAATATAAGCCTCACAAAGCAATTGAAGCAACTGGTAGAAGTCAGTGCCAACGTATTGTCTTAATCTCCTGGACCTCAATCATGTTGCCGTAGATCGATAAATGCTTGGTCTTCTTTGTGTTAGTCTGTGTGACCTCATTAAAAAAAGAGCCACATGCTTGGTCTGAGGCACAATATGCCTTGTTGTTCTTTTTAAGATGAAGCCACGGCATTGTGGGTGACCATGTGGGTGTGTGCCCAGAAGACATTCATGTCAATTATGACTGGGGGAAGAAAAATGCATTCTTACTCTGGTATTCTGCTCTTGTATTCCTGGGTTTTATATAATGTGGCCGGTTTGGTGAAAGCAGAGTTCCTGTGGTTACAAAGACCAAATCTACACGCTTTCTCTCAGAACAGCCACTCCTATTCGAAGGGGGATACCTGAGGACCACCTCTTTTCCCAGCAGAAAGCCACCTGTTTCTGGAGGAGGAGACTAAAAAGAAAAGAGCAGAAGGATGTGGTAAAACAATGTAAGGGGGGAAATGCACAAAGGATACTTTCAGAGAAACAAGAACAAGACTTTGATAGGAAATTAAGGATTCCAGTGGTGTATCAGTGCATTCTGAAATGAAACACTGATGAAAGGTTGATTTTGAAGGAAAATAAGAAGGAGAGCAAAGAGAGTGAAGTGAGAGAGAGGATTTGCCAGGAGTGTAGAAGCTGGAGCACCCCTGGGGACTGAAAATAATCTTTCTCAGACTCACCTGGAAGACTCCAAACACTGCACACAAATCGGAGGAAGAAGGGGGAATAAAGGATTACGGCTCGGAAACACTTTTAGACAAGTTCCAGCACCGCAAAACAGGTCAAGCCTGTAAACCAAGCTATCAAGGCAGTGAGTGTTTGCTGATATGACATCTAGAGGGAAAAGTCGGAAATACCACTCCCTCCATGATGACTTTGAGGACGCCAATGGGACCAAAGTGGAATCTGGACCTGAACCAGAATCAGAGGACCTGGACTGGGACTGCTACAGCACCACACTGGAGCACAGATTAGCAGCTGTGGGTATGACACCCAATATGGGTGGTAGATTACTGAGAATAAGTCTAGAATATGTAGTTGTAAAAACTCAGCCCTTATTTTTCAGAATTGGAAGTTTGATTGCTTAGAGAAAAAGTAGAAAATGGTAAAAATGTAGTATTTATAATTTAAATTATGTTTTAAAGCCTTTTTTTATTTTTATATTAAGATTTTCCTGTAAAACTTAATGATTTCACCTAAATAAAGAATTAATCCAAAATTGGACTAAATGCTATTAACCTACAGTAATGCACACACAAAGTACAAAGTGAACTTGACAGGCTTTGTTTTTTCAGATTAGATGTTTATGATAAAATTGAAAAGAATTCTTTGTATTTAGTGTGTAAGCTAGTCTTATGATACCAACAGGACATAACTGTCTCGGTAGCTTAAGTTAGTGGCCCTTGTGGCTAATGCTAACAGCTACTCTTACAAGGTTTAAAAAGTGATCAGATTTTTTACTAACATAAAACATCTCAAATTTTAAATAAAAACATAACAGCATTTTACAATATTGTTTTTTATCCTTAAACTGTTGCGCTTTTGGCTGCAGAAGCAAAGAAAAAAGAAATTGTTCAGTGAAACAGTAGCGCTCATAAAATTAACTTTCTGAATATGAAAGGTACAGAGTCTAAAAACCCTCTCTATTCAAGTATTTAAACCTAATTTGGAAAGGGACCAAATGTTTTCTGAAACAGAGTTAAATTCAACTTTGACTTGTTTTTTTTGGGCATTTCCTCCAAAGTGTTTTCCTTTGTGTCCAACTTCCTCTCTGACTCACGATATTGCTGTTCAATTACTGAATAGATCCAAGAAAGAAGAAAGATTTTTCTTTGTAATGAAAACAATATTCCTAATTTTCTTCCACTTTATAACTATGCACTACTTTGTGTTGGTCAATGTAACACAGTTTTAAAAAATGTAAAGTTGCTAAGTTTCTAAAGGACTTTTCCCTAAATGAGCAATTATGTGGACCTTTGTCATTAATGTAGAGTGGATATGCTCGTACCTTGAGAGAAAGCTGTTGCCTAGGTGCATTTCATAAAGGCAAAAGCAGATAGATATGTGGTTGTCCAAATGTCTGGGTATGCTGTTCTAAATGTTTTTCTTTAAAGTGACAGGTCTACGATAGAGCCTTTCTTTGCAGAGTAGGAACTTGCTTTAAGGTCAATTTGAATATGGAAACCAATAAGGTGGTGCTGAAGTAAAGACTTGCTGATCTGGTCTGATCTGGATCATTGTCCTGCCTTTTTCTTGTTAACTATGGGAAATATAAAATAACAAAGACAGGGATCTCTCTAAGTTGAAGGTGGATATGTTTCGTCTTGTGTTGTACCCTGTGGTAAGATCTTTGCATGAAATGAATCTGTTGGTGTTTGCCTCAAACTCTTTTATTCCCTAATCCCCCCCATATAAACTGTTAATCCCTTCTGCTTTTATTAATTGAGGGATTTTTCTTCCCATGGACCTCCCTCATCCTCATAAACATAAAACTACTTGATCTCTTTTAGGTCTTTGTGGAGCAAAGCATTTGTAAAAGCTGTAAAACAGAAGAGTAAATCATTTGATACAATATCGAAAAAATTCAAAGAGAATTCACTCAACCTAAGTCTACGTCTGTTTAAATTCAGGAACAAGAGAACGTCCAGGCATCCGAGCAGCGCTGTGCCGAGCTGGAGAAAGCTCGCCGGGAGCTGGAGCGGCAGCTGTCGGGCCTTTCGGATCGCTTGGAGGAGGAGGAGGTCTGCTCAGCTCAGCTTGTCCTCCACAGGGACAGGCTGGAAGCTGAGTGTGGCAGCCTCAGAAGAGACCTGGACGATCTTGAAAGCGCCCTGACTGTGGCCGAACAAGACAAACAGGTAAAATATGCAGACTCTTTGAAGATTGAAGCAATGAGTGAAAACAGTCTTACATGGTTTGAAGATCTGACAGAGAACTGTTCGATCTATACAGCAGACGTCACAGATTAGCAGACCAGGATCCGGACCCACATACCGGCTAATCAGGACCCAATTTCTAAATATCAAATATTTATAAATTACCGCATGTTGTCTAAACGATGATGTCTAAACGTCACTTCTGCTGCTTCTCCTGTTAATACGGTAAAGCCCTCCAGAGCGTCTGGGACCAGGCTGCACGTGATAAAAATTAGCCAATGAGCTGCTGTCAGTCTGGGTTGCTGCTGCTGCTACTTTTAGACCCAGCAGGCAAACCTGTGGGAAGCCTTGCGATGGGAAAGTAGGAGAAGATGATGAGAAAAAGTGAAAGAAAGTGTGGAATGCTAGATGAACTGTGGTGAACTAGTGAAAGAAAAGTGAAATGGTGTGCTCAAAGATGACCCTGCATATTTAGAGGATGTTTGGCTCAACCTGCTGCTGTGAAGCAGGATTCTCCATCATGAACAGAATCAAAAATAAATATGGATCCAGGCTCAGAATGAGCACCTTGATATGTGCTTTAGAATGGCTTTATCTCAATTCAAACCCAAATTTAAAGCCTTGCAGGGCAGCCTAAAGCCCACTGCTCTCATTATATAAAAAAAAGTGAGTCAGGAAATTGTCGATATACCAAACCTATATACCAAAGATTGTTGTTCTCTACTTCAAAAACAATTTAGATTTTGATATGTAAAAATGTTCTATTTTTTATTTAAAAATTGAATCCATAACATGGTTGCATAAACACCTGCATTTTATTTCAGTGTTAAATCCTGATTAAAGTAACAGATTATTATTAAAAATACCTCCGGACCTTTACAGGTTGAGGATTTTTTTTTTATTATTCGGACCCCACTGTGTTTTAATTGGTTACCCCTGCTATATAGTATGGCACATCTGAAATACTACCAAAACATAGAAATAGTGAAATTTATTATTGAAACTTTGCTAGATGAGCATTAATCACAGAAGAACCCATGATAACTCTGCTGGAGCTGCAGATATTCACAGTCTCAAAGGGAGACTTTATTGATAGGAAAACTATGAGCAACAAGTCTGGTTTTTATGAAAGACTTTACCTTGTATTAACCATGTAGACAAATGAAAAGTGAAAAACGGTCCATGTTCAGATAAAACCGAAATGAAATAGCATTTGATTTTTTTCATACCCCTGTCAAAAGTAGATTTGAAAAATTCTTTTAATTTAATGTTTTGTTTTGACCCAAAGTGGTGTTGATGTTTTGAACTTCCCTCGCCAGAGTTCATCTTCAAATAAAAAAACTAAAGAATGTGCTAGTGTGATGGAAAAGAGACATTCCACCTGTAATCACTTAAAATAAATCTCCAAGGACCACATTAGAAATATTAAAATTAAAATAAGACAACAAAAAAAAATACAAAATCTGTCTCTCTAAAACAATTGTAATGAAGAAGACAACTTTATAAAACCATGTTAGACCATATGTTTGGCTTGTATTGCCAATTATGCAGTAGATATGCATTCCACAGTCTGTCCCTGTTTAACCTACATCTGTGTTGTAAATTGCATAGCACTATAAAAATGCCTTGTGGCAGATTTACATTTGTTTTCTGAAATGTTGGCAATATCTTAAACGCCGTAACAAAAGCCTGTCTTCTTTGCTTAGACACAGATGCCAGAGGCTATTCTGTCATCTCCATTACAGCCATCTCACTGAAGCCTTTATCTGTTTATATGAGGTGTATTAAGGGATTAAGATGCTATCTTTTGTTTAGGAAAAGATGTGCGTGGAGGTGATTAAAGGTGGTCTGTGAAGCTGCTGGGGCTGATGTAGGCTTTAAGTCTACTAAGATAAAATTTTGTCCTATGTAAAAAAAAAAAAAAAAAATTATATATATATATATATATGACTGTTTAAATCATTACCAACATTATTCCTGTTTGCTTGAAAATATAAAATGTGCTATTGAATGAAAATGACTGAATTGTACTCACATCTGGTTTCATCAGTAATTCGATATCTGGAAATTGAACTATCAGATGGTTTCTTAGGATATTATCTTCACAAGCTGGACATGATGTGTTGGATCCATTGCAGAAAAGGATTTACCTCATCTGTTGTGGAATTTAACTGTAAACAGATACCTCTCCATTACCAGAATTTCCCTCAGTCTGTTGTCACATTCTTCTTATATGTGTCCTCGGCTGGAGTCGGTGTGCAATCTGTTAAGAGGAAGCTTTGATGTCTGTTTGAAAAAAAGGGAAAATTTAACAGCATCTGTTTCAATTATAAAAAAAAGTGAAAATAACTGTGCATCAGCACAAACTCCAGTGTAAATCTGCTGTATAAGCAAGTTCGAATAAGGAAGACATTGATGCCTGGTTTAGAGCGGAGTAGATTAGAACCTTTAATCTTACCAAATCATGTTTTATCAGCTAAAACTCCTCGATCTTCTCTTTAAAATTGCTAACTTTAAGCTTTTATTCTAGCTGTCAGACAGTGAGGTGAGGAGGCTGACGGAGCAGCTTCTGCAAAGGGACGAAGCCCTGCAGAAGCTCCAGAGGGAGAAAGACCATTTGGTGGAGCTCAGCCAGGTAAGGAGAGGACAGGTCGATATGACATTTGCGCCATGGTCCATGGGCCTCTTTCATCCATGTTGATTCAGGAAATACTTAACTTGAATGGCATTCATTAAACACACACTAACATGGACTGCACCCTCTAGTTTGGCACCTGGAAATTATTTCATTGACATGCAATATTGTCCAAAGAAATGTTACTGAGGCCATTTAAACACAATGACGCTGGTGAAAAGTTGATTTAGTTTTAAACAGCTGCAGCCGGGTATAAAATAGTCAAATTTGATAGTTCAACAGGTAATCGCCTCTTACCATATGGTTCACACAACATTTATTAAATACACGAACTTGGCTAAAATCATCTGGTCTCCCACAAAACCAATCAATCTGTTTCTCAGATAATGGCTGAATCCATGCCTGGACTTAGATAAGAAGCCAGCTGCCAGAACCATTCTAAGACTCCATTGTTCCAGGTCTCTGTTACCATTTTGTGTTTTGTTTCATTGCATATCTTTTAATATTAGCTGGCACACACTAACTTCTAACCCTAACCTCAACGCCAAACCAATAACACTAAATATACAGAACTAAAAGACGTCTGATTCCAAACTGTTTTCTCTAGACAATAGATAACTTTAAAGGGACCTCAGACTGGAGGGACTTTAAAGCTCTGGCAAAGCTTCAGAGTTGAGAAGTTGAGAGTTTGCAGCTCTATAATCATGGAAAGTTATTTTCTTTTACTAAAATCTCATTGTTATCATTGACATTTACTTGGCATTTACTATAAAAGCTCCTATCTTTTTTTAGTGTGACTTTTGTGGATTTTTTCAGCTGCCTGGAACTTTGCTTCCTTGTGCCTGTTTTTTTGGTTTGTTTATTTTGCTCTCTGCCAACATTCTTTGGTCACCTTCTCTCTTAAACAGCTGTCCTCTCTAGGATCTCAGTCTTTTTTTCATAAACTCTAAAAAATGTAATTTCACAGAAGTAGATCTCTGTATTTTCTGACCAGTTTTTAAATCCAACCAAACACCATTCTTAGACTCCCGGTCCCTGGCATTCTTGTTTGCTTTGTTTCATTGCATGCATATAAATATTAGCTTTCCCCTGCTACCTTCTATCCCTCAACATGAGGCCAAACCATTTACAGTTAATATAATACTAGGAGAAGACAACAACAAAAAAAATCCTTTTTTTTTTTCTCTGCACAATTGAAAACTTTAAAGGAAGTAGGGTGTTTACAGTCATATAATCTTTGCTTTTAACTAAAATCTCATTGGCTGTGCAGAGGTTAGCATTGCCGGCTTGCAGCAAGAAGGTTCGGGGTTTGATTCCCGGCCCTGGGGATTTCTGCGTAGAGTTTGCATGTTCTCCCTGAGCATGCGTGTGTTCTCTCCGGATACTCCCACAGTCCAAAAACATGACTGTTAGGTTAATTGGTTTCTCTAAATTGTCCTAAGCGCGACCCTGCTTGGGATAGGCGTGACAGAAAATGGACGGATGGATAAAATCTAAGTATCATCACTGACATTTATCTGGCAGTTACTATACAAGGCCCTATCTGTGCTGCTTATGTGCAGGACATATAAGTTAAACTGCAACTAAAAAAGAACAAGTTTGCACAGGAGCTGTGGGTCATTTTCTGCAACATTATTCAGGTTTATGTTATCCACCAACTAGGAATAACTCAAACCACAGGAAACAGTTAGCTGGGCCAAGAGAATCATTGGAGCTGACCGTCTCTTGGTTAAGGGCTTGTAAACGTCTATGGTTAGGAAAAAAGGGCAGCCAGACTTTCTGCAGATCCTATAGACATACATTGGGTTCTGTGATAGAGTGAAAATACAGTTCAACAACAGTATTTTTGATGAAAAAGATCATTCAGTGCCAAAGGTGTGTAAAATTCTTAGACAAGAGTTAAAATCACTAAGCTGACAGTGCTTATGGACCAGATTTATTGTAAATAATTTAATTGTAAATTCCTTCTGTTCTTTATAATTTATTCCAAGCAACAACAACAGAAAATTACTTTGAAAGCCATTTCTATCTTTAGCCAAATTTAATAAATTAGGGTTTGCTCATAAATAAGGGTTTGCTCATAAGATAAAAAGTTGGTTGTGACCCTCCCATGATATGGAAAAAAACAAACAAAAAAACACACAAAATCAAGGACTAAGATCACAATAAGATTCGGAATAAGGCGTGCTAAATAGCACTTGCAGCTCTTTTTTTTCAGAAGGTGCAATAAGCGGCCATGTTTCCTGTGATCTACAAAGACTGCTGCACAAATGTAAAATGAGCAGATTGCATGTTCCACAAGGAGTTTGAGAATAGCCATAAAAAAAGATGAGGTTCAAAGCCATGCAGTTGAAGATAATAATGATAATTTTCTGAAACATAATGATAAAACCAAATTGTTTTATAATTCAACTTACAAAGGTAGCCTATCAAAAATTGCTATGAAAATATATTTTTAAATATATTTGAAAAAATGTAATATCATTATACATGAGGATGTGTTTAACCTTTAAGAAAGTTAGTATGCCCTCCTGCTGCATTAATTTGTGCTCAACTGAGTAGACTTCTTTCTTTAATAATGTCATTCTACTACTGTCATTTGTGACGGTGCAAATATGTTTACTGGAGCAGAGAATCTCTCACATTTGTCTGGCATTGTACTGATGCCTCCATAGAACAGCAGAATTGTTTAAATGACATTTTAAAAGTACTAAAAAAGACCAAAAAGTGATGATAAGTTTAAGATTTAGAAAATTTGCTTAGCACGTGGTAAATGTTTACATTTGGCTGTCCTCCACTGATGAATTTGTGCAGTTTCATCATTACATTATTATTTTTCATATTGATGAAGGCACACAAACAGGTTTGCTGATGCTGAGTGCTTTATTGCAAACGCAAATCACTTTGCACCTTTATTGAACATCTGCTCAGCATCTACAAACACATTTGGACATGTCTTATGAAATTCAAGCCTTCTGAAGATCAGGCCCCTTGTATTATAAGTAAACTTTTTCATTTTAACTAAATAGGTGTGTCTTTAAAATCAAAACCTAAAACAATAATTGAAAAAAGCAATAATTGAAGCAGGTTAGAGAGACACATTTTTTCCACTCTGGACCTACAGGTGGGAGGTCACACAAAATGATTACAAGGGCTGCAAATGGCTCCGTGGCTCCGCCTTGGGGTGCTATGTTCTAGGCACTTTATGGTCTTTTTTCAGTATTCCATAAATATCTTAGTTAATCTAATAAGCTGTTCAAAAATATGGTTTGATTTACTAAGAAAAACATCATAAATAGAACCGGTCTTTCAGCATGAAACAAAGCATCAATCATTAAAAACAGAAGAGAAACAAAGTCCATGACATTTAGCTCAGTTTATTTATATAGCACCAATTCACCACACATGTCACCTCAAGGCACTTTACAGCGACCACTCAACCAGATCATACAGTAATACTGTTTCAAAGTTTTCTATCTATGGAAAACCAGCTGATAACATCCTCTTATTGACTCTGGAGCAATCCCTCACACAGGGCATGCATACAGCAACAGTGGAGACAAAAAGCCATCTTTTAACAGGAAGAAACCTTCAGCTGAACCAGGCTCAGTGTGAGTGGCCATCTGCCGAGGCCAACTGGGGTTCAAGGAGATAGAAATATACAAAAAGAGGCGGATTTACCAAAGTTAACTACTGTTAACTAGCTAGGGGGGCGACCCCGTCTAGGAAACACACAGCCAAGCAGATGAGCTCTGACCCAGTTCCCATGTCAGAGGATGAACGATGACATACAGCTAGTCACAGTTAAAGAAACAACAGGAGTAATAGGCAAAAAACAGGTACAGTATGGTGTTGACGAGAGCAGACCAACAGTTATTTCTCTCCAGGTTGGTATCAAAGCCAAACAGGAACAGACTAGACGAAGATACTAAGAGGAGAAAAGCATAGAGAGCATAAAGTAAGGGGTTGAACGAACAAATACTGCAGAATGGGAGGATAGGGATAGAAAGAAGCAGAATGATGAAAATGGTAAATGGTCTGTACTTATATAGAGCTTTTTCAAGTCACAGGACTTGACCAAAGTGCTTTACATTACATTCAGTCTTTCACACATTCACACACACACACTCAGACACTGATGGTGGCAAGCTACATTGTAGTCACAGCTGCCCTGGGACTCACTGACGGAAGTGAGGCTGCCACCGGGCCCTCAATGCAGGTGAATTGTCTTGCCCAAGGACACAACAACACTGAAAGCTGGAGCTGGGACTTGAACTGACAACACTCTGGTTACAGGAAAAACTCCCTCATCCGACACCACTTTCGCCCTTAAAAGTGGTCCCTATGTCTTCCAGCAGTCTAAGCCTATAGCAGCATAACTATAGAGATAGCTCAGGAGAATTAGGAAGAGTTGTCATGAACAAACTGAAATCTATCAGACATGTGCTGTTCCCTTAAAACCTACAGAGAGTTTTTCTAAAAGAATATTCTTATAAGCTGTATCAAATGCAGCACTGAGATCTAACAGGACAAGTAGAGATAGAAGTCCATCATCTGAGGCCATGAAGATGCCATTAGTTACTTTCACCAGTGATGTTATGATAAGTCAGAAATTGAAATAACTTTAGGGGTAAAAACCTACATACCCAGACTTTTTGATTTTAGAAAACCAGATAGCAAGATGGTAGCAATATTTCTAGATGTTATCCTGAGTCTGCTGCACATTTAAGCAGAGATTGCAATCAGGAAAAGCTTCGGAAATCAGGTATCCTTTACCGCAGGAGCCTGTAGATATTGGAGAGCAAATGCTCATTATGAGGTTAGATCTTTTTTTATCATAGATTCATAGATTTTTGTGTGGACAAGGATACGTTCTTACTGCTGCACCCCATTTTTATGCTGAAGGCAAACTGTTATGGATTTAGCATTACACTGTTACTATACAGCTCAAATGCCCATCAGATCAATCTTAACTTCTGCCTTTCCTTTTTGTTTGGCTCAGAGGAGTGAGTCCCTATCCGCAGTGTGTAACACGGGTTCGTATTCGGACTTGGATAAATGCGCTCATGGATTTTTTTTCAGTTTTTAGTTTTACCTTTTCGCTCACTGAATAGTTTAGGTTTAGTTGTATAAGATTTTACTACAGAGGTTTATGGACACAAAAAGTTCAAAAACATTTCTAGATTAGTTTAATAACTCCTGCCATCACATCTTTGCAACATTCTCTTCGTCAGAAATCTACATGGTAAATTGAAGACAAAATCCACAGACCTGCAGGTATTTGTAGAGTAAAGCCAAAAAGTATAACTTAAATTCTCTATCAAATCCCCACTCATGCATTGACTAGCCTCGCCACCTTAAATCAACTTTTTTTGGAGCAGGAACAGTGTCGCTGTTTGTGTGAAATATTTATTTAAAATGTTGCTTTCATTAATATTTTAATGTTCTGTAATTGAGAAATATACACTTAGAGATTCATTATTCCCTCCTGTTGCCATGATGGGTTAAATTTGCTTGTTTATTTGCCCTGTCCTGAAACCAAGAATCCTGCATACCAAAATGTTGAATAAGTTGACGCAAATTAACAGCACTATACTCAGAACAGATTAATTCTACTTTCTGAAACTGGGCCCTGGTGTAAAACCAACATAGCGCTTGAGGAAAAGAACATCATAATGACATCAAAACACTAAACTTGTGGCCTGAAGATTTGGATGAGCTTCAATGCTCAGGACTTGATCCGGTTGTCTCTAGATGCCTTTGTCTGCACCTACAAAGACTGCATTATTTAAAACATGTTCAAAAATCATCCAATTTTGTCAAGACTCAGAACTGTGGACCCAGAATTTCAAGTAGACAAACAGATGTGATTCACAAAAGTGTTTATTTATTAAGAAAACAGAAAGGGCTGGAATCTCTGGTTTTAAAGTTCAGTCTGCGCTGAGAAGAAGGAGTGGAATCCAGCCGGATGATTTCCAACAGCACGCGGTGAAGAAGCCAAAGCAGCCAAGAAGGCTGCCGAACTGGTTGATGTGCAGAAGCAAGGAGACGAAGGAAGGCAGAGGTTTCCAGAAGGCAAAGTCAAAGCCAGTGTCAACGTTATAAACATTAGTCCAGGCCAGAAGATCAGAGATCCAAAGAGGCACTGAAGGGAAACCCAAGTCGAGATCAGGAGACAGATCCAGGGTCTCAATCAGGCAGAATCCAGTAGGAGTCCAAAGACAGGTTAGGCAAACAGATCAGAACGGGAACAAGCAAGTTCAGAGGTCCAAAGGCAGAACTAGTCAGGATCAGAAAATCAGAACAACACACAGGGCACCCTAGAGAACTCACACCAAAGGCTTGAATAATCTGACACAGATGACCGGGAGCAAGCAGCTTAAATAGAGGCAGGAGCAGGTGGATAAGATCAACAGTAAGGAAAAACTGGGCGCAGCTAGGGAGGTGAATGGAATGAACCATTAAGACATTCATCACTGCCAAGATCATGACAAATTTTGGTTATTTTAAACCATTTAATTTAGAGAGGAGGAGCAAAACACAGTGATTTAAAAAAAGACTGTAAAAGGCCAGTTATCACAACTTTTCACTGGAGTTACTGCAGTCAGGGAAGGATGGATCAGTTATTTGGTTTATTCATGTTTTTAACCTAATTATAAATTAAAACTGCATTTTGATTAATGCTTTAATCATTAGTGAATGTCAAGAATGCACAAAAACAAAATATGGGGTGGATAACAAACTAAATCAGAAGAAAATAGATTTTCATGGGATTGCAGACTCTGACAATTTTTGTGTTTTAATGAATGACTGATGTAACATAGCACATTTTCTTTGCAAAGAAGAAACTGTCTTTTGGAACCTCCAATGTTGCAGTCAGATGGACGTGAAGCTGTGTGATGAATTAAAGATCAATGAACACGTGCAACCCAGGTTAAGACATCTTGTTTCATTCTACAGCAAGCTATTGAGGATCTCCAGATGGAGGAAGACAAAGTGAACCTGCTGACCAAAGAGAAAACCAAACTGCAGTTGAAAGCTGAAGATGTAAGTCTGTATTTTACAACATTTGGGGTAGAATAATAAATTCAGCTCTTGAAGTCAGTTCAGTGTTTGGTTGTCTTTGGCCTCTCCAAACTGTACTCCCTGTTTTGGTTTCTTTTATGATGGTTATAAATAGGAAATCAACAGCAGATTGTGGGAATAATCCCATTTGCCTGAGGGTGCATATTCAACACAGTTGTTTAAGCTAAAAACTTAGCCTTTTCTGATTATACAGCGTGGGAGCTTTGGAGGAATATATCCCTAAGGCCAGATTATTGCTTGCCAGACATGATTACCCATCACAATGCTCTGACTGTTTCACATTCAGTTCTACAGCAATACCACCAGGAATAAGGACCTGAAGAATAAATCTGTTGGTTAACAGTAAAAGATGAAAGGTGGTGTTTACAGAGGAAGAATTCCTTGGTCTTTGAGATGTGCAAAGTTTTAGAGACAGGACAGAAGAGCATTTTATTTTAAAATAGTTAAATAGTTAATCTACTGTGTATTTTCTTGGTTATCACACAACTGGTTCAAATAAAGTTTAAAGTTCAATATGCTGGTGTTTAGTATGTGTCATTAATTAACTGAAGATGCAAAACCAATTAGTGTCAGAGGATTGTTTGCTTACAAGAGAAGTCTATTGGCATTTTTAAAATATAGACAGGGCTTTCCTAATTTAAGGGAAAGCCCCTAGTGGTTAGTAGCCTCGTGAGACCATCCTGATCTCGCAAGCTTTAAAGGTTTCACTCGCAGATCAGTCTGGAGACTTTCTGTTGAAGATGTTTTGGAGCCTTTACCAAACGAACGTCCAATCAGCGTTGGCTTTGAGGCGGGTTGAGGTGTGACGCAACGAGAAGCGCGACAGTTCAGTCTAAAGAACATGGCGGCTTCAGCCGATGAAACTAGCGTTAGCGTGGCTATCGAGCAAGTTTTATCGGAATTACAGAGTATTTCTTCACTGAAAGAAGAGCAAAACACTGCTCTGGAGGCTTTTCTCAGAGGAAAAGATGTTTTTGCTCGTCTCCCGACTGGTTTCAGCAAGAGTTTGATCTATCAGTTGGCTTGGGCCTGGCTTGTGGTTGTGTTTTCGCCGTCGCTCTGTTAATACGTCATATGCTTCGTTGATCTGATTGGTTTATTTGGCCCGTCTATCACCATTATAGGCCAATCAGCTAACCAGTATTTTCGTCCATTCCCAAAATTACTTCAACGGAAGGTTTCAAGATGGATATGCGGAGCAAATCCATCTGGCGGAGTCAGGTTAAGTGGTTAGGGCATAGAGCTTAGAATCCTGAGGTTCTGAGCCCCACTCCCACAGTCTGCCACTGTGGGTGTCTTTATTTTTTTATATTTTTTATTTTAAATTTCAATGTATAACATGGAGGCATAAACACCTGCATTTTATTTCAGTGTTAAATGCTAATTAAAGTAAGGGATTGGGTTTAAAATGTGTCGGACCTTTACTGGTTGATTATTTTCTTTAATCCGACCCTGCTGATTTTTAATTGGTTACCCCTGCTTTAGAGCATATTTGGTGATTTGATCTGTACACTGCTGCTAATATAAATGATTACAAAGTAGAACAGATATTAACGAGCATAAAATAACTCTTGATTAGAGATGATGTTTTTCTTGATTTGTTATTGAATTAAAATCCATCCTCCCGTAGTATGTAAGTTGTCTCCTTGAATCTTTTTTTCCTGAGCTCAGCTGGAGTACCAGCTGGAGAGGCTGCAGCATGGTGACCCTGAGAAGGCCAGGAGGAGGCAGGAGGCTGACAGCAGAGAGGTTGAGAAGATGACAAGTGGTTTGGAAGATCTTATCAAGAGGTCAGTCTAAAATGTTCTCTTTACCTTTGCTTTAACTGTCCATCTAATTGTTTCATTTCTGATATAAAACCATAATATCAACTTTTATAACACTTCAAATTGGGACATATTGTGCACATTTCATTCATATTGTTATTGTTATTGATAAAATTTTGTTCATCTACTGTAAGAATTGACATCTTGACTATCTCACCTAAGGTTTAAAAATTGGAAGCTGTGATTTCACAAAAAAATGTAAAATACAATAAAAAAAAAAAAAAGACAGCAAGTTGTTGCCTTTTTTTTGTGTGCAAAAGATAATGAATATTTTTGTTGGTATTTTCTTCCAGCCTTATAGGAATCTTCATGAATGATTTTTAGTGATGTTTCTCATTCATTTTCCTCAAATTTTATTCCTATTTAATGACAGCAGAGGGGTCGGACAAATACTTCTGTACCTGCTTTGACCTGCTTCCAGAGCCACGAAAGGATTTGTCTCTCTAATCTCTGTGGAATGCTTGATACTATGCAATTAGCCACGAAGGGCTTAGAAAAAGTTAAACAACCTTCTATTTTTCACTCATATTTAAAACTTGTCCATAATCACAAGCATTTACAGAAAAGCTTTTATTTTATGCCAGCTCACCTGAATTTTCCGGCTCTACATCATAAACACCAATATGAGGCAGAAGAAACCATGAGGTGAATGACTTTTATAGGATCTACTCTGCAATTAGAAGTCAGGTGTGTGAAATGTGCTGTTCACAGCTAACTATTATTATTTTCTTGTGGGAAAGAAAGTTTCTCATTTAATTTGCTCTTATAAATAAAGACAACATGTTGGCCTTGCTTAACTATTTATACTTGTTTAACTTTTTTTACATTTGGAACATTAGAAGAGCCAAATTCATAATAATTTGTAGAAATGTTTTCCAACTGTCCAACAAAAAGCACCCAGATGTGAGCCTGGACTGTTTTCTGTCTCCTCCGAAAGGATTTAGTTTTCAAAACCTGAAGAGTGGCATATATATTTATATGCAACCCCTTTACTTTGATGCCCCTAAATACGCTGGGAAAACGATCTAGAAATAAGTAAAAATGTCTTAAAGTAAGTGTATTTACACTTAATTTGAGTAAGTAAATTAGATAGTTTGCCAATTGAATGAGTATTTTTCCTCTTAAAATAAGATAATTAGATCATATGCACTTGAAACAAGACAATGCAATTATGTTTTCTTATTTTAAGCACAAATTGTCTAGTTTTACTGGCAAAATGTCTCTTTTACCTCCTTCATTCAGGAACAAATGCACTTGTTTTAAGAAGAAAAAATGACTTATCTAGATTTCGACGTTTTCCAGTGTAAAGAGAGTTGCAGTAATTTGTCTAGTCTCCTACTCATCAAACAGACTTGACACGTGTGCTATTTAATTGCAGCATTCTAGCGTGGATCTACAGAACTGCAGAAAGTTCTGCAGATCCATTAAACTGAAGAGACCAAAAACATTTCAGAAAAGATTGACAGGATTGTATGTGCATCATTGCATGATAAATGTATTCAATTTGTGAAGCGCCCTTTAATTCAAGTCACTTTACACTCGAGCCACATTCAACATCAGAATGGCTCAACTCCAATTGTTTCACCTCCCAAGCTAATCAGATCTGTGCTACAGTACTTCCATATATGGTACTAAAACAGATACATCAGATACAATGCTCATGTCATCTGACCTTCATGTTAAGTCGAGCATACACTGTGCGATTTTTTGCCCGCAGCTGTAGCTCATACTTTAGGACGAAACCGCAGGGTTTCATCCCATGTATGTTCTCACACTGTGCGACCCGACAAACTGATGCGATCTGCCTGCTCACGCTGTACGTCTAAAAACCACGTCAGACTCACTTCAACAGTGAGATGGAGCTACTCTGACTCGTCCAATATGAAGTTCACTGGAGTGCCCTGGAAAAAATCTAAATCTAGATAAGTCATTTTTTCTTTAAAAAAGTGCATTTGCTCTTGAATTGAAAAGGTAAGAGACATTTTGCCAATGGAACAAGACAATTTACACTTAAAATACAGTAAGAAAACGCAATTGTATCGTCTTTTTTCAGGTTTATCTAAATATGTTATTCTAAGAGTAAAAATACTAATTCCATGGGCAAATCATCTCATTTACCTGCTCAAATTAAGGGTAAATATACTAAATTTAAGACATTTTTTAAACACGCTGCCATGGCAATTTTGTGCTGAATGCCCTAAAAGAAAAGGTGATGATGTATTTGGACAAAGTCATGGCTAAGCAAACGTGGCTACTACAGTCTGTTAATTTCAGAGAAAGAACTCCCTTTAACTCACACCCCGGCCATGCTTCTGCACTGGAAAAAGTCGAAATCTATATAAGTAATCTCTTAAAATAAGTGCATTTGTTCTTGGATTAAGGAGGTAAAAGAGACATTTTGCCAATGGAACATGACAATTTACACAGAAAATAAGAAAACACAATTGAATTGTCTTATGTTAAGTGCATATTATCTAATTAACTTATTTACTATCTAGGCTCTGACTAAAAACTCCTCTGCAGCACAGCAGTTACTGCTCCTAAAACACATTGGAAATAGTTCTGCTCTGTAAAAACAACCTGAAAATGAGTAAAAATGTCTTAAATT